AAGCACTTGAGACTTGGGTGACTCAGGCTGAACACTTGGGTCTTATCTTAAGTGGCTCAGTGATGCGTACAATGTGGAATCGCTTTGCAGACCTCTTCAAGGTACCAGATGAAGACCGACTCTGTCTCTCTGAGGGGTGCTTGACCAGTTTCAAGAGCCAAACGGGCCTGCGTTCCGTCAAAGGTCATGGTGAGGCTGGTTTAGCTTCACCTGATACTGTTGCTGCAGAGAGGTCTTGTGTGTGTGCAATCACGGATCTATACCATCTTGCCAATATCTATAATATGGATGAGACTGGCCTATTTTATGGGTATGTCTTTTTTACAATAATTTAGCCATCCTTTCATTTTGCTGATGTACTTTACGTTCCTGTAGAATTCCACCGGACAAGGGATTAGCTTTCAATGCAAAGTCTGGGATCAAGTCAGAAAAGCATTGCCTGACGTATGCTTTTGCAATCAATGCCAACAGATCCAATAAGTGTCATCCTTTCATCATAGGAAAAGCTCATAAACCTGTGTGCTTTCATGGGAAGACAGGCAAGCAACTTGGCTTCTACTATTGGAACAACACAAAAGCTTGGATGCAGACTGGAATCTTTATTGAGTGGATTGAATCCTGGGATCAGGAGCTTAGATTGGAGGGTCGCAATATATTACTTCCTGTCGAAAACTTTTCTGGTCACTTGGTCAACCCAGACAGACCTTTAACAAACATGCGCCTCAAATTCTTTGCTCCAAATCTTACATCTCATGTCCAACCACTTGATGCAGGTATCATTGCCAACTTCAAGTGTCGTTACCAATCCAAATTTATCAACTATGTGATTGATTGTTACAAGCTCCAAATCCCAATTGGTGAGATCTACAAGATTCATCAACTGGATGCTATGGAGCTTGCTTCCGAGGCCTGGTTTAGGGTCTCCGACACGACAATTGCAAACTTCTGGCAAAAGTCAGGTATTCTGTCCGTTCAAAATCCTGATGGATTGGTCAAGGGTCAAGATAATCATGACCATACTGAGGATTTCGATTCAGATCCAATAATCAATGATGAAGCTACAGAGACTTTAAGATGCGACTTGGACAGTCTTGAAAGGTTGAAGCTTGTCCATAAACCAAACTGAATGTCACTCTCTGAGCTTCTCAATCCAATTGGCAAGCATTCAAGTGGTTTAGAAGAATGGACACCCAAAGATATTGTTGCAAGCATAGAAGAAGAAATGAAAGAAAAGGCTAAAGTTGAGATAACACCACCACCGCCTCGACCAACTCATCAAGAGTTCCTCAAAGCTTCAGAGATCATGTTGGGATTTATGGCCTATGAAGAATATAATGTAGCAAAACACTACACCAAATGTAATCTTTACCGGGCGGTAAAGAAAACTACTGACGTAGAAAAGTCCTGAGGCAACAGGAAGAGAGCTAAAAATCTGAAAAAATATGCACCTTGTTCCTAGATGTTGGGGCGTCATGATGAGTATTTTTTTGTATTTTACACGCAGATATTGGTTTATGTACTAACAATAAACGCTGAAAATCATCAAAAACTCACATGTAACAATACCTGAAATTTGGGTCATGAGTATGAAGACAATATTTTGTGGTCTAAAAACTTCAATAACTTTTGCAATTCTGCTCCAAATAACTCGATTTTTGGTTCATTCAAAAGCTGAACTATTCTCCTTCACACTTCATAATGTTAGTAAGGTGCCATCTAGTCATTTAAACACTCTACATATGTTCAAACAGTTCTGCATGAATTGCTCTGTAGGATCTTTTTTAGACCAGCTACAGATGTGATGTCTCAATGAAAAATGTAGAGGAAAGGCTCACCTTTTTAATGCACTTCAAATCGAGTGATTTGATTCAGAACTGCAAAAGTTATTGATGTTTGAAGATTCCAAAATCCTGTCTTCAAAGTCAAGGGCCAAATTTCAGGTATTGTTACAGGTGGGTTTTTGATGATTCTCAGCCTTTATTGTTAGTACATTAACCAATATCTGTGTGTAAAATACAAAAAAATACTCGTCATGACGCCCCAACATCTAGGAACAAGGTGCATATTTTTTCAGATTTTTAGCTCTCTTCCTGTTGCCTCAGGACTTTTCTATGTCAGTAGTTTTCTTTACCGCCCGGTAAAGATGACATTTTGTGTAGTGAAAGGGTGGGAACGTGCCATTAGGGCCTCAGTAAGACATTACCGCTTAGTCTGTGCCCAAACTGCCAAGCAGCAAACCCTCACAAATTTATTTTTCAAAGATTCTTAAACTGTTGTTACAAATCTTTGTCATAACCAATAATTTTGCTGCAATTTGATTTTTATTGGTTTTCTCATAGTTTTGATAAAACCAATACTCTGTCAAAACCAATAGGATTGGCCTCAATTTTTTGATTATTGGTTTTCTCAGAGTCTACTGTATGTAACCGTAGAAAGTCTTTGGAACCCTGAGAGCATGACTTAAGCCCTGCACACTGTATGCTTGGAGTTGTTGCATCATCAGATACTTCACCAGCATTATAGCAACAGTATTGGTTTGTCTAGACTTGGTTATAAAGGGGCAAGTAAGGTTTGGAATGTAAGAGATGTAGAATTAGCTGACTTGGTCAAAGGGAGTTATGATCTTTCAAAGAACAGTTTGGCAAGTGCACAACCGGTAAAGCATTTGTGCTTATTGACCTTTTTCATATGGCAATGGGTAATTTTGACATAAATTGATCAGTCAATGGATCAGATGACCCCAATGGTCTGGTCAACACCGCAACCGCTACGCTCCGCTCAGGTTTTCGACCTATTTTGGGAGCGGAGCGCAGTGCTGTGCTCAATCTCACTACGCACAATATCACTCTTTTTTATTTTTTTTCTTACTTTGGTGTGCGGCGCTCATCACTACGAAAGACCTGAAAAGTCTAAAAAAAACTATAAAAAAGAGACTCGAGCCCTGGCTCTGAGCGGAGCGATATGCTCCGCTCAGGACTTTCCTCTCCTCGGAGCGCGGTGCGCAGCCTCTGCTCTGGGTAGCGGAGGTTTGAGCGGATGCCAAAACCGCTCCGCTCACGCTCATTCGAGCGGAGCGGTTGCAGTATTGGTCTGGTCATCTGTCGTGGTTCCTCACATCTTACGGTTATGTCTTGGTGAGGTTAAACACTGCTTTGCGTTGGTTGTGAGGTGATATAAAAGAGTCTGGACGTATCTCACGTGTAGTTCAATGGGACAGTGTGACAGTTTTAGCTCAACCACCTTTGGTATGACTGCGTATCTCAAATGGCCTGTGGCTCTGGCCCAATGGGCCACCCAGGATTTCTCTACCCTTCAATTTCTTGGGGATACCTTGCATTTTCCACTCTGATGCATCTTTGCTGGTAGTTCCAAGGTAGTTGCACTATTTGATTTGTAACAATAAACTGCACTGGAACGTAGGAGACATCCTGAAAAGCATTGTGTGATCAATTCTAGGTGATTCTCTGAGACTGTGGTGAAGGTCACAAGAAATATCCAAAAAAAAATGAAGAAAATTTAGCCAAACTTGGCTTTTGGGCTCCAGGTTTCACAACATTTTTGTACAAAATCACATTTTGGCCCCAGCAAGACAATGGGGCTTAGCTAGGGCTATCCAGGGTCCTCTTCTCCTCTTTCACAATACTTGCCCCTTGACAAAGCTGGGAAAGGACAAAGTTTTGTTGCCTAGGAAACTCATATGTTATCTACTTTGACCATGCTTGCAAGATACAGGCAAGGCTTTTTGCTTTTCACCTATCTTCATGGTCAAAAGTACAGGCATAAATGTTACTTATGATCATAAGAGAACACTGGATCCAAATATTGCATTCTCTTACACAATCATGTGTTCTTATTACCTCACTTCAGATCAATGATTACTTGCCAGAAAATATGCAAGTATTTTTCAAGTAGTATCAAGTATGTCAATCACAGAAAAGAACCAACAATAAAGCAAGTCTTGATCAAAGTGATGTTGTTGTGATGTTTCGCCGCGAGAAGAACGGACTGAACTACATCTTTTAACGACTTCATCGCTTGCTCTTTTTGATGTCATTCGTAAATGTTCTGTTCGGCTGACCTTTTTTTCGGTTTGCAAAAATGAAACTGCAGTAAGTCTTGTGAATATGGGATTGGGACCCTTTGGGACCACATCGAGAATTCTATCAACTCAGATCATATAGTACAAGCTCCCGGAGTCCCGTACAAAGGTCCACTTGTCATCGCCTTCCTTGGGCTCCGTTGGCTGAGGTCATACATCGTAGCTGTTTTGCAAGGAAGCATTCTTGGAGGAAGGGGTTCACAATCGAGTCCATAGCTGTGCATAGGTGCCGTGTGTAAAGTATGCCGAGCCAAGGCAACAGAGGCATCGTAACCAGGGTGGTGGTCGAAGGGAAGCGTTAGGAATGGTTGTATTGAAAAGTTTGATGGAACCTCGGGCACAACAGATTGAGATCTTCGAAGACCGATCAGACACTTTTGTTTTGAAAGTGATTTAAGTTTATGATTTGCTGTTCCAGAGTATCAGGGACCACGTTCTCGATTGCCGTTGAGCTCTATACCCTATATCCACCAAGGCTCCTCAAGATTTCTACATAGGATGTTGTTTGAATCCGAAGTCACATCATCAAGACTTGCAAGGACCTTTCATAGTTGTACAACACCATTCGATTCTTTTCAAGATATCAAGACAATATCCATAAAAGGGACTTCCAAAGTCAAAGAAGAACTTTGAACCTTTTACAATTCTAATCTCAATCTTCCGACATCCTCAACTTTTATCACTCAACTCTTTGTCTTTGGTTCCAGTACAAAAGCTCAATCAAGTCTTTTAATCAGGTCTATTCCATGAATGTGCTTTGTCTGTTCTTTTTAGCAACCAAATCCAGAATAATCGATTACCTCATCAATCACCAACAAATCCAACTCGTACATTCAATTTCAAAGCTGTTGCTTTGACTTGAATTCGTTGATCAACCGCTAAAAGGATCAATTCCCTCCCTGGTTCCTATTCGCATTTTGTTTACCTCTTCAGCCTGCTCTGCTGGATCATGCGGCCCCTGTTCAACTCAGATCCACCCTCGATTTGACTCCTGGCCAGCCCGTCCAGATTAGCATAGGGTTCAACTTCACGCCTGTTCACTGACGACTTTTCCTGGGCCACTAGCAGATCTCATCCCATCATATAAAAAGCAGCTCATTTCTCCTCACTTGCTTTTGATCAACAAATTGATCATCAACTCTTACTATAAATTCCATCGTCTCCCTTTTCAATTTACACTACACTATATCAATTTACCAACTAAATCCCATCATCTCATCATACCATTGATATACCCCTCAGCTTCTCTTCTCTTCCTCCGCATTCCTTCTTCATCGGTTCGAATCTCTTTGTTGTTGTAGAACATCTATCTTACTATTCAAAGTCCGATTCACCTTTGTATCCTCTCACCCTTCTCACCCTCCTCAAACGCAATGTGGGCATCTAAACCTAATCAGCCTACCAATCTCAGACCCTTGCAGCTAGTCAAGAAACTTTCTCCCGACAGACTCAGGGTTGATGTGACGTTGACTCCTCTTTCACCCGCAAGTCAACCTACTTCCCCTCATCAATCGTGGCGAAAGGAAATCAAGCTTACCCGGGTTGCGAACCGAGAGAGAAAGAAACTTTCAACTGTCACCACCAGCAGCAGTGGGAGCGACTCGCAGGCAAGCTCCAAAATACCCCAAACGCCTTGCGATCTTCCGGTCATCAGCGGTCAACTAAACCTTCTCGAAGAAAAACTGGAGACTGTCGAGAACCGTATCACATCTCGCCAGACTTTATTCGATAATCTCGAGAAGGACAGCACTCGTTTGAACATTGAACTTCAGAAGGAACTTAAGACTAGCTCATTCAGTCCTAACAATCCCGCTACTGAAGTCCAACCAACAAACGACGAAATCACTGAGGACACATCCACCAAACCTCCTGCTTCTACCCTGGGCCAAGTGATTGTCGACGGACCGAGTGTCGCGAGCGGTGCACCTGATCCCACAACTCAACCCGCTGGATGGACTGGATACTTCAAGCTGTGGTAAATGGGGCTACCGATGTCAACTGCGAGTCTGCCTCGAATGAAGACAGTCGTCTCATTTGACTGGCGCCGTTTGGAAGGTGTTGACTACAAGCATGCAGTCACCAATCCTGTTCGTTATGATTCCATTCACTTCTTTATCATCTATTCTCTGCATCTCTCTAGCATTCCACTCACACACTATTTGTTTCTTTACAGTTATCGGCGTTGTAGAGCGCAAGAAGAGTCAAGCGAACAGCCCAACAGGATCATTCGACTTTCTGAAGCGGGAATATCACCTGCATCAGACGAGGACAACATTGAGACATTGAGATCATCTTCTTTATCCTATGTCAAACAATCTCCTCTCCTGTGATCGTAAGCCTCACACCCTATAGAACAGAACGTACACGATCTTGCTTACTGACGCCTCTGCCTCTCCCATAGCTGACCTACATATGTCGGATAAGAGCAATTCGATACAACTCACCACCGTCATCGGTTGACTGCTTCAAAGCATTTCCCTCGATTGATCAGCCAAGACCCGGGTTCACAACGCTCAAAGCGTCACTTGATTAAACTCACAACCCGCTGTTTGATTCCAAACATCTCGAATTCAAAGATAACCTACTCTACAATTCCGCTACTCCTTTCCTTTAATCCTAATCTCCTACCTCGATCTATCTTTATGTGTCATACTCATGGTACACTCATAGTACCTTTAGTACAATCTTGATGCTCGTATGTATCTCAAAAGACAACTTGTGGTTTCTAATAGTATTTCTTGAAAGTTTCATCTTGTCTCACGTAGCTACACAACTAGTTGTAATAGGTATATCTATTATCTTCGATTTTCTTATACATCTTTTCTCTGAAAGAATGGTGACTTTGTTGCCTTATTGTCCAAGGTTTCCTATTTGCTATGAACTGCACTGTGAATGAAAACATTGTTTGAGACGAGCAGCAACACCTAAGATCTAAGACATTCGTGTAATCTGTGAGTTTGGGTTGGCGACTCGAGTTACCATCTGATCTGGCGCGCCCTTATACTGATGGGATAAGAAATTGAGTGAAGCAGCCGGAACACTTGCGTCGCATCCTAGAATTCAATAGGAAGAATCTAACCTACAGACCATATCATCATTGCTTTCAAGTCAGGTTCCTCCGCAAAGGCCAAGCTTACCGCCGATGCACTTCTCCCCCTCAAAATTAGCTAGGCTATACCAGCAGTCATTCTCTGCCTACCGGTGTTGATGGTCAAACTCATGAAAGCTATTCCGGTAAAGTAGGATGAAGATGAGTGATCGCAATGGATCAAAGTGAAGTTTTCTGTTTTAATTTGATAAATACCGACATAATTAAAATTTGAACACGCAGTTTCAGTCTGTTTCAGTTTGATCAGGTTCGATCGCTTTCAATCCGAATCGAAGACCCGAGACCAGCTGTCTTACCTTCTCTTTTGATTTTCTCCGCGAGAGCGGCATGCTCTTCCAAGTCTCGAGCATCTATCGTTCAGATTTCAAGCTTCAAGTGAAACGATTCTTAGCCATCAGGTACTTCACCGCCGCAAGCACGATGTATGCTGAAAACGTTTCCAGAGGTTACAAGGTGAGTGCGAAAGTGTTAGATTCGGTTTTTGCCTTCAGATGTCGGATATCTTCACTGACTTTTCAAATTCGATACTGCTGCCTTCATGATCAGGAAGCAGTTGCTGCCCTCAACACATTGCAATCGAATGCGGATGTTTTAGCTGCGATTCAAGCAGCTGGTCCTCAACCACCTGCTCAGGTGCTCCGCCACACTACGTATTACCTTCGCCGACTCGGTTATCAGGTAAACTTGATCATTCTGCTCGCGACGATTGAGTGAACGATGTGGAGCATTCATTGAGATCGTCACGCCCGGCTTTTTATTCGGTCTTCTAGCTCAATACTTTAAACGCACTGAATGCGGTACATATCAGTGGAACGAAGGGAAAAGGATCAACCGCCGCATTCTGTTCCTCACTGCTTACCAATATCAACAACAAAGCCAAAGTTGGCCTCTTCACTTCTCCTCACTTGGTCGCGGTGCGCGAGCGTATTCGAATCAACGGGAAGCCCATCAGTGAGGAACTATTTGCCAAGTACTTTTGGGAAGTTTGGGACCGCTTTGAAGATGGTCATGGCGAGGTCCATCTTTCCTCATCAATATTCGAGTCAAACCATACTGAAATCATTCATCGTCTCTTCTTAGCCCATTCTACCCGAGATATCGATTCGACCTGCCTACTTCCGCTACTTGACCTTCATGGCCTATCATACTTTTCTATCTGAACGTGTCGATGCAACCGTCCTAGAAGTCGGTGTGGGAGGCCTGCTGGACCCAACAAACTTGGTACCTTCTCCTATTGTCACAGGTGTGACTTCTCTAGGGCTAGATCATGTTCATATTCTCGGACATTCTATTTTCGAGATTGCTGGTCACAAAGCTGGCATATTCAAGTCCGGCGTACCTGCAATGAGTGTTAAGCAGGAAAAAAGCGGAGCACTCGAAGTTCTCCGGGCGCGAGCCATTGAAGTTCAGGTGATTCTTGGGAATCTCAAGTATAGCTGTTTGCTCGATGATTCTGATTTTGCTTGTCATTTTCGCGTCCCTGATAGGCCTCGAGCTTCACAGTCATTCCCGAACATCCAGCTTTGGAAGAGGCCAGCATAGGTAGGTACACGCTAAGAACTGAAATCTTGAACGTGTCTGCTGACCCTCGGCCTCGAATCTACCCAGGGTTAGCAGGCAATCATCAGAAATACAATGCATCTCTCGCCATTGCTCTTATCAATACCTTTCTCGCCTCGCCTCGCCTTCCCCCTTGCTTTTCATCTCAAATCGTATCCCCCAAAGACGAAACTGCTTCTTCTCTACCGTCACCACATCTGCCTTCTCTCTTTAACCCTAGCTCAGTCATCCCCGATACATCCTCCCTTCCCAGTATTCCATCTCTACCATCAGAGCTGATTACTCCTCGGCCATTGAGTGATCAATATCTGCAAGGATTAAAAGCGACCAAATGGCCCGGGAGGTGTCAGGTTATTCAGGATCCTTCGAAGCCGTCTATCACGTGGTCTTTGGACGGGGCACATACGGAAGAGAGTGTTGCATGTTGTGGTACATGGTGGAAACACTCGATTGGAAGCCCAGGCTCAACTACTCCGTCGCGCAAGAAAGCCCTCATCTTTAATTGTACTTCGGGTCGAAGCGGTGAACTTTTACTTAAAACTCTACTTGCATGTCTCAAAGGGGATCCAGCCGAGTCATTCTCTTTTGATAAAGTGATCATCTCTACCAACACTACTTATTCCAATGGTCTTTCGAAAGGTGGTATGTCACGTCCTTTGATTCTACCCCAATCGCCGATACGCTAATGAAGTGTATGTTGGCGTAGATCTGACTTGCGTGGCAAGCTATCCGGACGAGCCTAGAAAAATGAAAGTGCAAGAGGAGATTGCTTCAGCCTGGAAGTCGCTCACAGGACAAGCAAACAATGTTATGATCACGCAATCTATTGAAGATGCTGTTGTTGAGATCCGTACCATAGACGAACCTGTTGATGTCTTGGTCACCGGTAGTTTACATTTGGTTGGTGGTGTATTAGAAGTAGCGAAATTACTTGACGAATTTTCTGGATAATCACATCTCAGTCAAGAACTGTGCAAATAGACGCAAATAGTATAGAGATTTATAATTGGAACTTGATTATTTTGATCATGGAACAGTTCAACATTATGTTAAATATAACTCGGAATGTACGAAAGCCATTGTAAATGCGAAATAGAGCAACACCTAAGGATAGATTTCTGGAACTAGCCAGATTCTTGTGCGTGACTTGGTCGAGCAAATCAAGCCAGACAGAGCCAATCTTCTGATGAGAAGAATTCTGAAGAAGGACTGGAACAAACCCACACCTTGGATAAATGGGTATGACATGGTTCAGAAAAGTGAGACCTCAAATGAGATAGCTTAGACATATCACAAAGAAAAGGATTGAGAAAATTCGAGAGATATAAGGTGTAGAGACAGAGACATTGGGCAAAAAATCTTCTGATAATTGTGGAAGGGGCGGCACCTACTGAATATATGGCTGCGTTTCTTGACTAGCTCAATTTTTTAGACCTTTCTTGTCCAGATGAACTTGATCAACGATAAAGGAGACATCTTGTCAAATGAGCAGAATACTACTCAAGAGAGACTGAAGAAAATTCACAATGACCTCATCTTGTGGACAGCATTTGATTTGCACTAAAACGTCCAAAAACATGAAGTAAACACCACCATACTATTGGAAATTACCACCAGAAAAAATCACACATACCATGCCGTCAAGCGACACTATCAAAGGAAAAATATCACCAACAACTGCTACGTATACCATAGAAATTTCACATAACCTCAAGACTTATTGATTCCAAGCGCTATACCCACATACCTTGAAGTGATTAATATAGAAGAAACAATAGATGGCACATAAAGAAGCTGAAAGGGAGGCCTTCACCACTCAGGGAGCGCAGGTATAATCCACGTAATTGACATCTTCAAGACCTCAATTTTATCATCCCACTTCCACAACACACGAGAACTTGTGGTGTTCATGCTAAGCACTCCTGAAGTTGGAGGCTGGGAGTCATGTATCCAGAGTCATTCCCCTGACGGTTTGAAATGTCAACACAAGAGACATCTACCGGATCCCGCACGTAATGTATGCAGACATGTACATATGTAACTAGCTGTACGGATTCCGCAGCTCAAGCAGGTTCCACCGGACCCGATCGAAGTCGACTCCTGATTGAAATATCTGAGTCGGATATTTAAATTGACCACGTATCATCACAATCGCTATCAAATCGACGTAATACTACCAATCAAACTTCAACTACTACTTCAATCAAGATGAGTGCTCAATTATTGAACCTAGCGATGTAAGTCTGTGTTAAAATCCATGGGTGGCTACTTTGAAGCGTTGACTGATTTAACTCCTGCGTTGATTTTCCTTAGCCCGCTCATAGGTATGCAAGTAGCACGGAAGATTCCATTCGAAGATCCTCAAGTTTTACTAGGAATGCGAATGGCCTATGTCACGAGTCAACTACTTTGCATGTCAGCTTATTACTACGTCACCTTCAAGGTCGGTCTTGTTCTTTTTGTCTATGATAAAGTTGGAGGGGCGGCCGTACGACCTCAGATCATTACAACGATGGGACACATCGATTGGCAGGTCACGGGACGCAATAGCCTCAAATCAAGAATGCATTCAATGACTGATATTTGGCATCATTTGTTTTGGCGTGAAATTTGATGAAGATTAAGTCCAAGAATGACACAACAGTGTTGAAGTATGTCGAACCTAAACCCCCACTGGTTTGTCATGTTCCACAATCCGAGTCGATCATTGTATATCAAGTCAACAAGAACTAAAGCTGATCCATGTATCAAATCACTCAAAGACCGCCGACCCTCCAAAGCTTGTCACCACCACAAATCGAGCCTACGATCTCGAACAAGCCTCAACAGGTTTAAGGGGTGTACTAATGGGAGTGGCGATGATGATCTTCTTACATCTGTATATGAAATACGATGCTCCACTCTTCCTTCAGTCGTTGATGCCCCTCAAGGCGGTATACGAAAGCAGTTTGTATTCTTCATCGTTCTTTCTCGGCGTCTCATGGTCCTGACGTATCTGTCTCATTGTCTTCAACAGAGGTAATTCAAATCCATCTCTTAGGACGACCGGCCACAGGAGACTTGAAACGACCATTCAAAGCTGGTGGAATGATGGGTATGTGATCCTAGCGGCTCGCTGTTGATACCTCTCTATCTCTGCTGACCAAGCATCACATGTTTTTTAGGCGCAGCGACAGATGCAAAAACAGATGCAAAGAGCATCAAGGAAGCCGAGCAAGCTAGTGTAAAAAAGGAGCAATGATACAGCCCATTTTTGTCACAATTTGATTACCATGTGACCAGGCCTTCGTTTTTGAATCGCGTAGACGTGGAGGACTTGTACCTCTACAAGCATCAGCAAAGTTTTGCAGAGGCTCTGGGTTGAGTAATTTTTATAAGATTTACATCTGGTCAAAGGCTTGCATGTAGCCTTTGCCTGACTCTGACTTATGACATTAGTTGTCCTCTGATTGAAGATGGGTAGTACATATTGGAAGTGTAGTCATTTCATACATCGAGACAATGATGTACGAATCCATGTAATCTGAATTCGTTTTATGATGATACAAGGTGAATTCCGAATGGTTGTGACCTGCGCATACATGCAGAGGGGTGGTACCTCCTCACGCATGCATGCCAACCAATGTTGATGACTGACAGTCAAAATGACTTTGTGGCTACATCCGTGAGCTCTGCGGTCCGACTGGAGGATTCTTGACTGGACCGAAATTCCTTTGAATCTACCAATGAGATCGTGGCTAGAATTCATCGATCCCATGGTAGGATGTCAAGCTCCTTTATGTTGATCCAACACTGTAGTTCTCTTCAATGATCAATGAGATATGGCAGGATGTTGAGAAGAGTTGGCTAAACAGAGACTGGAGAGGGGTCTATTGATCTACCGGTTTGATAGTCGATGAACACAGACTCGAATCAGTCACTTGATCGAGCTCCTTTTAGAGAAGGGTACCACTGCGTTTTTAACCGGTGATGAATCTAGAATCTAGATGCAGTTTGAACTCAGTCTCAATCAATTCCAACCAGCTCGTCATATTCAACACTTCCAACTCGCTGCGGTGTACGGTGTACCAACTACCCAACCAATAAGAACTGGGAACTTCTTACCGAGTGAGGAGTCAAACTTTTGATTTAACAACACTGGTGAGATATCAAAAGTTTTGGAAATCTTTCATGAGGTCGAGCTGATCCTCTGTCTCATTTTTCCACATCCTCAATTCGACCAATAGCAACTTGAAGTTCAAATGTTTTCAATCAACTTATCAGTCTTTATCTACTTACTTCATCAAGCTCTTGCTTCATCCTCACTCGATCAATCTCAACTCGTTCTTTCATCCGATGGAGACTATTCTAGTACATCAACTTGTTCCGGTGATATGCCTACCAGTTGCCATTTGCCTTCCAGTACAGGGCCTATCAATACTTGTTGTACAAACGCACCAGGCGGTCAGATTCTCTTAACTCAGGTTCGTTTTATTTCCTTCCTTTTGTTTTCCTGTTCGTCAGACCAACGTCGTACACAGCCTACACAGCACTTGATTTGTTTGTGATGACTAATCCACTCATACGTTCATGACTCACAGTTTTGGGATTTTCATCCTGCCACTGGACCATCCGACAGCTGGACCATTCACGGGTTAGCACTATTTTAAACTAGTTGGCCTTATTTCCATACCCGCTGAAGCAATGAACTCATTTGTATTCATTTCTCTCTTTCTAGACTTTGGGTACATACTATCACTTCTAGACACTATCCATCTACCTTTCACTGATTGAAGTATCATATCGCTTGTTTCCTAACCCGAAGCCTGATAACTGTGATGGCTCCTATGAAGCATCATGTGATTCCGAGCGAGACTACACGAACATCACCCAGATTCTCCAACAAGGTGGTGGTCAACAAGCTCTTGATATCATGAACCATTATTGGAAGGACCAACGTGGAAACGATGAAAGGTTTTGGCAACATGAATGGTAAGATACCCCTTTTCTACCCGATAAGCAAATCGCTGAGTATACCTTGTGTTCATAGGGGCAAGCATGGTACCTGCATATCTACCCTCGAACCGAAGTGTTTCGGGGAATCTTACAGCCCTCGTTCGTCTCTCCGCTTTTTGTCTTTGATCCTTCATCTTAAGTACAGTATCTTGACGTGTAAGACTTTCGTTATAACGCAGAATCCGAAGTCGTAGCTTTCTTCAACCGCACAGTAGACTTGGTAAGTCTTCCCTTCAACTCAGCATCTTACGCAGACAAGTGCTAACCTTCTATCACTTCAGTTTCAATCCTTACCGACCTATAAATGGTTGGCCGAAGCAGATCCGCCAATTGTACCTTCAACTTCGGTAACCTACACTTTGGCTCAATTGCAGGCAGTTGCAAACAAACATTTTGGTCAGGATGCTGTGTGGAATTGTCGGGGCCACTCATTAAACGAAGTCTGGTGGCATGTATGTACTAAATCCTTAATGGCGGCACTGTTCATCATCATCATCTGACTTGGAGTCTTCACGTCATCGCAGTTCAATACCGTTGGTACTGTCAGCAAAGGACAGTTTGTCGCAGCCAAACCAGTTGGACCGTCAGTTCTGTTCCCTGTTCTTTCGTAGAAAAACACGAGGCTGATATTACAATTTTACCGACGGGAATTGTCAACTTGCAGTTTGTCTACCTGTCCCCAGAGCGGAATTCAGTACTTCCCCAAGGTATATACCCCTCCTGATGCTTCTTGACTGGTAGGCCTCATTATGCGTCAAATCATCTTGTACTTACATGCTTTTACATAGTCTGGTGGTAGCGGCGGCGGTGGAGGTATCCCTCATCGCCCGAATCATCCAACCCATCCACCCAGTCACCCTCACCCATCACCACCCTCTGACAAACACTTCATACATGTCATCGACACCTCAACTGGCCGACGAAACGGTTGTCTGATTGGTACAGGAGCCTGGTATACTACTGGAAAATGTGCTGGCTTCACTATCATGACCTCAAAAGATAAAGAAATTCTTGAAGTACGCTCGCGCAAGGGTGCTTGTGCATTCCGTCCCGACGGTTCACTCAGCTGTGGCCGCGGAATTCATTCGAAAGGATTTTCTTATGTTCGTATCATTTTAGCTTCCGTTTGCGTGTCATTTGAACTAAACTGTTTTGTACACCGCTTGACCTTCATAACAGAACGCTACATATCTACTACACGATGGGCAACAAGTTTTCCATGCTGACGGTGTGCCCAGTGGCCGAACCAAGATGAAGGTCCGCAAAGGCGACGGGCTTACAACGATCATGTTAGAGGTTGCCGCAGCATCCTAGATCATGTGTTTGTCCTCTTACTCATCAAACCTCTCCGGAAGGTCTTGGGGCGCATTTTTATCTCAACGCAATCTCACGTCGATGAACGCGATTTCCTTATCTTGGTGCGTAGGTAGCAGGAATTTTGTTTCTGCCAGAGATGTACTTTCAACTGTTCTTTGTGGTCACTTTGTTTCCTGACTGTTCTCCAATGTAGTAGTGTTGTATCAGCTTGCAATATTTTCATAAGCATCTTATACTTAGCGTAATATGCGTGTAAGATGCAGTTGACGTATCCCCGCTGAACCCAAGCGGGAAAATCTCCGAGCTTGATGAGTAAAGTCCACCCACTCTGGTTACGCACTTCACCTTACTGCGGCCAGGTGCCAACGCTTGCACAATCTTTTGTCTCTTCTGTTGTCGTCAAATAACAACCAAGATATTATCCTGCTAATTAAACTCTAAGGTAACACAAATAATTAACGATGCCATTGGTTGAACTGTTAATTCTCTCAGCCTCCGAATGGGCATCTTGAGGCTTCTGCCGCTGCCTACATTATACTTTGCGTATCCTTCTTCTCTTTTGTGCCTTTGCTGCACTCCCTTAAGCTTCTCTTTGGCAAAGTCCGTCTTTCTTTCAGCAGTTGCAGTCTATTTGTTAATGCACACCTGCCAACATTCATTTGACGTCACAAACGATTTCGCATGAACATCTGGGTTGGTGGGATGAGCTGGATCCTCACTTTAGTTGTCTGAGACGCCATGTTGTATTCGCGAGTATGGTGCTCATTGCGGGAGGGCTGTATCGCCCTGTATTTTCTACTGCACTGCTTCCAGCTGGCTTTGGGGGGACTCCCTTGGACTCCGATGTTGTCGACGTTACAGTTTGAGGTTATGAAAGCAGGACGGGCGAACAGAAGAGATCACATTTGCATATGGACAATGGGCTCTTAAGGGGTTCTCTCAATTAGGGTCTTGGCTTTGCCCTTTTTTCATGAACGTACAATCACACGTACAGACTGGCGCAGTTCACTCCCTGCAGCAGCCCTCAACTATCTACATAAATTATCACAAATGTATCGCCGGTGAGAATTACAGTGGGACGGTCATCTACGCACCGTGCGAGTGCCACTTGTGAACAGTTCATCCCGCCAGTCATCAGTGTGACGCAGCGTGTTCTATCCTCTCGTCAGACCCGACTCTCACTCCACTTAATTATTCTAAACGGCCCACGCAGCCCCTAAAGATTGTCCAGAACAGTGCACTCAAGATTTTGTTCTTGCAACCCTCGACACTCTTTCTCAGCACCTACAATCTCATCCTTTCATTCACGCCAAGGAGCTCTGCTTATCAGCGACGTCTACTGCCCCTTATCTACCGCTCACCATGCTCACGATCGGTCGCATCGAATGTCAACTACTAGCAGTCGGCGCCTCTTCATTTCGCGAGGAATCAGCATCATACCCCAATCCTGGGGTTGCTTCGTCCTATCTAGCTGTGGATCCTACTTCGGATCTCAACGATGAACACCCATATTCGCTACATTGGACGATTGACCCTTCCATCCTCCAGCAGGGCGGCCTTCAAGTTCAAATCGAAGTGGATGGGTGTCAGAAAGGCCAAATTCGTTGCTATGAAGCTATTCCAGAAGCTGGCTTGCTGCCCGCCAGCATAAATGGGTGCGATGACGGTTTATGGGCCGTACCCGATGGAACTCGTCGACGTCCTTGGATCATGACAAAAATCAAGACAACTCGTGGGTGACTTTGTGCTGAGAGCCTTATGGGGTTGTCTGTTGACTGGACATATGTATCATCTTCTTAGACCCGCACTCTGCTTTGGCGGATAAATACATTCTCGATCGAGTAGGATCGGTGAATGTGACTTTTAAACGGGCAAATGTGGTCCCTACATCACATGTCGTACCTCTGCCACCGGTCTTCAACGGCGGTGCCCCCTTGCCGGACAGAATGCGTGAAAAAGTTAGCCATTGGACTAAGTTAGTCAAATCTCATCTCATGAACCTCCATGAATGCTTGAAGAAAAAAACTGACTCACCAGTGTATCTACAGACTTGGTTACATCCAAAACCATCCTGTTGCACCAGAATTGGGTTTGGTGGCAGAATCCGTGGGCGAAGTGATCGCCACTTTTACATTCCACTACCGCTCACAAGGTAAAAGTTAAAACATAGCAACTCACCTGATCAGAGTATTCCTTTTCAACTGAATGTATCCCTTTTGATCACACTTGATATATACATCCGTAGAACTCCTAGATAAATTAATCCCCAATCGTACTACGGGAGTAGCAGTCGATTTCCCCACGCAATCTCCAGGGCCTGAGATCAAGTTCTCGTTCCCTACTTCTCCTGATGCAGAATCTGTACGCTCGGCCGAAGCCATGACTCCCTCCCTGTCGGAAAGTTTATCACTGCCAACAAAATCAGGCAACCCGTCAAATGTTTTACGTCGTGCACTCAGCTCCCACAACACCCCGCGTTCCAGCCTGGATGGCACGTCACCTTCTGAAAAGGAAAACGAAAAAAATGATTTTGGGAAGTTGAACAAGCTAGGTGGTAAACGAGTGAGAGCTGTGAGTTTACGACTATCCAAGAGGTATAGCTTGTTAGGAAAGAAGTCTTCCGGTGACAAAGTAAGTCAATCACGCTGAAACATCGGTATCAAAAGCGTTCTCATCACCAATTTCTTGATGTGGACCTGACAGCAAGAGGAGGAGGTCAAAACCAGCGCACCATCTGCGGAGTCAAACTTGGAGGACCTGGATACTATAGAAGGGCTCAGGAAGGAAGTTATCTCGCTCAGGGTTGGTCTTTCTGTTTTGCTTGTACCTCGTGAAGCGAATCTAATACCGCTTTTATATAGCTCGAAATCTCAAACCTGAAGAGGCACCTCAATTTGTGATCATATAAACTTGGATGTACATGCGAGCAGCTGCCAAGATTGCTCTGTGTTGAACGATCCATAACTCATTCAATGATTTTAGTTCAATCCCATTAATGCCCCCATTTTTCAAAACCGCTCTATCTATACTGCATTACCCTAATATTTTGTTTTCTGTGTGTATCTCCTTGCTGAATTATCTGCTTTCAGTCTTGCAAAACGACTTGAATATTGCTCCTTCTGTATGTTTCCCAATGTCTCTTTTCTATTGTGGCCGGTTGTGCCAATTGCAATCATGGATTCAGTTTTGATCTGGAACACTAAAGCCGGGGACTGAGATCTAGCTTTGTAAGCATTTGAGTCATCCGGCTGGGCCAATCACAGATTGCTGATTTGGACACACTGCAAGTGTATCTCAGAGTTCTGGGGTAAATGAGGCTTCACTCTCAGATAATTCCTTTCACAAGAGTTCTATAAAGCAGGTCACAAGCTGTCAAAGATCATTAAGTGAAATTCATACAGGACAGGATAGATGATCAGCACCAGCTAAAATGCAGTGTTCATGGTCTGAAGATTGATCAAAGGGTTACTATCCTTTGTCTTCTATTGATAAGGATCATTATCTGATATGCATAAATTTCCCATACACCATGCGGCCATTGAGCTGTCCTAGAATGACTCATTACTTTGCCTAGGGAAGGACATCTGGACAGACCCCAACCAGATCACATGGTTACAATCTGATTTGTGCAACACATACTGAATTGCTACAAAGTCATTCAAAGACCTACCACAGATGCTTCAGGGAGGTGTGTGGATGTCTGGTGACATGGATATCTTTGCCACAACCTGCTGTAAGGAGTACACACAAGTACAGGTTGGACTTATGGGATTTGGACTATGGGATTAGATAGGCAGTGCTATACCTTCTTGCTCCACGCCCGGTTCTAGGAAGTCTTCACTCCTCCGAGAGCCTTTATTGGGACTTCCTGGAACCAGGTGAGCGTTTTCTCTTATTGTTTTATTGTTCTTTTGTATTGCTGGGGTTTTACTGACTCCTCCGAGAGCCTTTATTGGGACTTCCTGGAACCAGATTGTAATTCATATAACGAGGTTCTAAGTAATTTGTCCAATCGTGCTCTCAAGAGAAGTCGTGCCGGAGTATCATCCGGACGCTAGTGAAGGTTCTCACGAGAACCTTACACTTTTTTTTACTTAATCAACCTCTAAAGTAATCACAATTTTTTTCAAACTATCTTACATCATCTATTCGGTCATATCCCTTGGGATATTCAGTCATTTCATCTGTCATCCTGTTTCGGCCTATTTTCTGTCACCTCTGCTTCGGCCTCGGTTTTCCGTTCTCTCACGATCTGTCATCAGCCAACTCTCGTTCTGTCGAGAACTCAGTTTTGAAACTTCAAAATCATCGTTATTGGCATCGCAGTCCAATCAACGGACTTGTCAAATGTTTGGACCAGCTGCTCAATTACCTACGAATTACACTGACGACCCTGAAGGGGTGATAAGACAAGCTCGGAAAGAAAAGAAGAAAGAAGTCGCGAGAGCGGAAACTTTCGAAAGCCCACCAGCGGGTCCACCACCAAACTATAAGTGGAGGAGACCTGAATCTTCAGTATCTGGATCACCGGCGGCGTTAACGGATCGCATCGTTTACGCCTCATCCTTTTCACATCCTACTCCACCAGATCCGGCCAGACTAGAGTTCTCGCCGATCGAGCTCTCACCATCAGCTCCTGAGAAGACGGTTGTGGACCGGCACTTCAAGAAACTACTTGGGTTTAATAACACACCTCACCCACCGGGATTTCTTCCTCAGTTCACCCCGTTACCTAAATCAACCACTGCTTCTATCTCTGAACTGCCTCAATCCAACGATCCGACGAACACAATGTCGAACGAAGAGCATCTGGAGACAATTCGTGACCTGCGTTCCCAAGTAGCTAGCTTGGAGGTGCAATCAGCTCAGCTTAGTCAGTCTCGAGAAGAGACAGCTGAGCTGAAGAAGCTCGTACGTGAGCTTCTGGCCGAGCGAGGTCGTGAACCACCTCCTCGGGAATCAGCCGCAGACGATGACTTAGTGCAAGGGGAGACGACGCAACCAGCAGGGTCGAATACTTTTAGCCGGTACCTGAATCAGACGCCGACTTCGCCAACACCCTTGGCACGTAATCAGCAAGCATCTCGTCCTGCTAGCGCGCAGAGAACAACGGAGGATCACGTACAAGACGAGCAACCGCCTGGGACCCATGCTACTCATCAACGAGTTAGCTGGGCTGAGGAAACAGCAGGACACGAGGCTTCGTCAAGACGTCACCCAGTTCAATCTACTCCAGCTGGTCTTAGGACATTATTGGCTCATCCTTCACCTTTGGCAACAGAGTACTCGCCGGCGCCGAATCAATCTGCGAGATCAGCTGCGCATGATCGAGAAGTTCATCAAGACCATGTGCCAGCTCAGCATCCTTCATTTCCTGAGGTTCCCATCTCTGTGACGGCTGATCGCATCAAGTTAAGCGATTTGCCTAAATTCACCGGCAAATTCGGCAAACCAGCGGATCTTTTTCATTGGCGAAGTCTTATTGAAGAGACATTCGAAATCAAAAACTTAATAGACGATCGTGAAAAGTTGAAGTTGTTGGGTTCCCTGTTAAACGATGAAGAAATGGCATCGTGGTACCAAGCTAACAAGGACGAGCTTAAACGACAATCTTGGGAAGGTGCGATGGAGTTGATGGCGATGGGGACTTTACCTTATGCCTGGCTGACGGACACTGAAAACGCCCTTCGACGGCTTGAAATTAAACCGGGAGAGAACTTCGATCAGTATGTCAAGCGAGCTCAAGCGATACATAGACTCATCAAACCTTTTGGGCAAGTCACGGATCGACATCTGGCGCAACATATCACTTGGGGAGCGCCGCAACTGCTGAAGGATTGGATAGAACGGGACAAACTCTTGCTGGTACCTTCATTCTCGTTCCCAGTCTTCAAAGACGCCGCGGACGGTATCTACCGACTCTTGATCAACAGTCGCCTCATAATGGACCCTTCGTCGAAATCCAAAGCTAGTTCGAATGTTGCGAATTCTTCTCTATCAACATCGAGTAATGTACGAACGGCGCCTCCTCCTCGACAACGGTCAGACAACGAGCGTGCTGATAATGCCTGGAGGAATCATGAATACCTCAGAAGAACAGGTATTTGCGCGACTTGCAAGACAAAGTGTAACAATCCCAACTGTACACAACGCAACCCTCGGTTTTTATCTGTTCCATCTGATTTCAATCCTGGACCGAGACCTCAGCGCACAATTCCTACGACGACTACATCAACGCCTGCGGGAGCTGCAACACAAAGGCCAGCGGGACGACCACCGGGCACACCAGCTGTAGCAAGAGTAGCGGCTGTTGAGGATGTGGTCGACATGTTCACGGAGGATATTGCGGCATACGCAGAAGCGGATCAATTTCAGGCAAATCAAATACAAGATCTGGCGAACGAAGAAGCGGGGTGCGTACCTTCGAGTTCTGTGACACCTATTATCCTAGAACTGATGTGTAATGGGCGAACTGTCCGTGCTCTTATTGATTCAGGGGCGGGCACGAATCTTTTATCAGACAAGATAGCGCGTGAATTGAATATACCCCGAAGACCACTGATTTCACCGGTCGAGGTACGCCTAGCTATTCCTACAGAAGGTGCTCCTTTGGTATTGAAGGAGTTCGCGATGGCTAACCTTAAGTGCGAAAATCCTAGTACGCGTTTTGGGGCGGTTTTTTTCAAACTGGCGCCTCTAAGCTCTTCATACGACATGATTCTTGGGTCGCCGTTTTTAACAAAGTTCAAGCTAGACATTTCACTCCACCGGCGTTGTGTGCTACATACATCATCTGGAAAAGTTTTTTATGAAAAAGTAATGCAATCAAAATTGAACAGGGTGCTATGTGCTATTGAGAATCTTGATAAGATCATCAAGGCGCAAGACTTTAGTGATCGTGAGGCTAGAGTCTTCAAGGACTTTGAAGACCTTTTCCCGGCCGAGCTTCCTCCGGTGGAGGAAGATGAGGTACCGGATGAAACATTCCCGGAAGGATTACCGGATGAAAAGAGAAAAGTGAGACACAAGATCATTTTGACTGATCCTAACGTTGTGATTAACGAAAAGCAATATGGATATCCACGAAAATATCTGGATGCGTGGAAACAACTCCTGGACAATCATGTCAAAGCTGGACGACTTCGACGTTCCCAGAGCCAATATGCGTCACCATCTATGATAATTGCCAAGAAGGACCTATCGGAATTGCCAAGATGGGTGTGCGACTATCGAAGACTGAACAAGTATACGGTCAAGGACCGTTCCCCACTACCAAATGTGGATGAAGCAGTGCGGTTAGTAGCAACAGGGAAGGTGTGGTCGGTGGTGGATCAGATCAGTTCCTTTTACCAAGATCGTATGAGAGAGGAGGACATTCCGCTGACGGCGGTGAAGACGCCGTGGGGATTATATGAATGGGTGGTGATGCCAATGGGACTTACCAACGGCCCGGCCACGCATCAGGCAAGAAATGAGGAAATTTTGGGGGATTTAATAGGCAAGATATGCGTTGTTTATATTGATGATATTGTGATTTTTTCACAAACAGTCAAAGAACATGATGATCATTTACGTCAGGTGTTGGAGCGGTTGCGTGGAGCTAAATTGTATTGCTCAGTCAAGAAGAGTAAGTTGTTCAGAAAGGAAATCACATTTCTTGGGCATCAAATCAGTGAAGCTGGTATATGTCCTGATGACGAAAAGGTTGAGAAGATCTCAAAATGGTCTTCGCCAACGAGCTCAAAGCAACTCCTTAAGTTCTTAGGTACTGTGCAATGGATGAAGAAGTTCATTGATGGACTTTCTCATTATGTAGGCACCTTATCACCGCTGACAAGTACCTCTTTGAAAGGCAAGCCATTCCAATGGGGGAAAGCAGAAGAAACGGCTTTCAATAACATCAAGAGATTAATTACAACGCTACCAGTCCTACGCAACCTTGACTATGACTCAAATGAACCTCTCTGGCTATTCACGGATGCTAGTGGGAATGGGCTAGGTGCAGCACTATTCCAAGGTCTCGAATGGGAGACGGCATCTCCAATTGCTTATGAAAGTCGGACGATGAATCCTGCGGAGAAGAACTACCCGGTACACGAGCAAGAACTCTTAGCGGTTATCAACGCGCTGAATAAATGGCGTTTACTGCTATTGGGAATGCGCGTTAATGTGATGTCAGACCATCATTCATTGA